AATCCTAGCACTTTGGGAGGCCGAGGCAGGAGGATTGCTTGAGGCCAGGAGTTCAAGACCAGCCTGGGCATAATAGTAAGACCCTGTCTCTACAATAAATAAATAAATCATACAGTTCTCTCCACTTCTGAATTTTAACCAGAAAGGTAGCACAGCACATTGGTTAAGAGCATGATTCTGAAGCCAGGTTGTCTGGTTTTGAATCCCAGTTCTGCTGCTACCCAGCTGCGTGACCTTAGGTAAGCTATTCAATCCTACTGTGTCTCAATTTCCTCATCTGTAAAATGAACATGATTATAGCACCTACCTCAGCAAGTGACTGTGAGGATTTAAAGAGTATGTATTTGTAAAACACCTAGGAAATAGAAAGCATTAAGTAAATGATTGTGATTTTTTCAGTGAATAATCTTTTAACTCCATCTCTTCCTTTCTGCAGAAAACCTCTTATCTATTTCTTCATTTTCTTCCTCTTAGTTAGCAACTACAAAGACTCCCTTTGTTATCAAAATCTCCCCTGTGCTTTCATATTGACTCTTACATTCCTCACTTTTAAGAAGTTTTAACTAAAATCCAGATTGATGTCTACATGCTAATACTGTTCCCCCATAAGCTTCGACTTCTATTCCTCCAATTCCCTCCTTGACCCTATTAGAGCCTTATCACTCCATGTGCATTGTATTTTCAACCATGCCTAAGAGTTTTGATGACTCTGCCTAGAGTTGCTGGCCAAGTGACACATGGAGGGGAGGGGAGACTGAACCAGGTGAAGGAACAAATTGTCCCTGTGCCATGCTCTATTCTCCTCCACAGAGGATCATAATTAGAAAGAACACACTTTGTGTGACCCTACTGTTGGATAGCTTACCTGCCTCACACCCGAGGACTCTCCTAAGAATAGCAATGTGACAGTTCCTTCCAAACCAATGGTCTCGCTCCTGGCTCCTGAGCAGAATTTAACAGCTGCTAAGAGGAATTGTGGAGATAATAGAGTGGATAGATCATTGAACTAGAAATCAGAAGACCTGGTTTCTAGCCCCAGCTCTCCTCACACTTATTCCCATGACCTTGGCAAAGTCACATTTATTTAGCCTTAATTACTTTAGGGATAGTAGTACTCATAGTTGTGAGAGTCAAACATGTGATATAACTTCTTTTCTGAGCTCATGTCTTAGCCCTGCATACACTACAGTTATATTTGTTGTTATAGTCAAATCCCAATTATCTAGCTCAGCTCATACAAGAAAAATCTTCATCATCTGCTTTCAACTCATGCTAAAAGGTAAAGAACAAAAAGCAGTTTAGAACCAAATTATTTTTACTGATTGATTGATGGTGATTCTGCTGATGACCTAAAAAGGTTGAAGTAGGTTTTCTTAATCTCTGCACCATTGACATTTTAGACCAGAGAATTCTTTCTTGTGGAGAAATGTCCTGTGCATTATGGGATGTTTAGTTTCTACCCACTAGATGACTGTCATGAGAATCAAAAACGTCTCTGGCCATTGCCAAATGTCTGCTGGGGAACAAAACTGCACCCGGTTCAGATTCACTGGGTTCAAGGATAGTATTTTATAAAGCTATTTCTTTACACGAGTACTTAAGCGCAGAACTTCATATTCCATATTTTATATAAATTTCTACTTATCACAGGTCAAAGCCAGAGTTAATGTTTGGTAAAAATTTTAGTATATGGGAATGATATAAATGTGTTAACCACACCACCACCCATCAGTATCACATCTCAAAACATTGTCCTTACCAAAAGAAAGCAGTAGCGGTCCATTTTTCTAGTGGAAAATTGGTAGGCTTAATTCTTTCGAAACATCCTATAAGAACATAGAACTGATTGTGTTCCGGATGTGTGCTGGATGTATGAGGAGGCTTGGTTTTGGCCATACACACAGCACTGGTTCTGAACCTGAGGTGATTTATTTCCCCCAGGGAATGTCTGGAGAGATTTTTAGTGGTCTCAGCTGGGGGAGAGGGTGCACTGGTATCCAGTGGGTAGAGACCAGGATGCTGCTAAACATCCCACAATGCACAGGACAGCCCACAGCAAAGAATTATCTAGGCCACTATGTCAAAATGTCAGTAGTGCTGACGAGAAACTGCCGTATGGGAAGAAGGGTTATGTACTGTGCCTTTTCTTGGCTACGCGGGCATTTTCTTTGGAGAACCTAATCAAGTCTCTGCTTTTCTCTCTCACAGCTGTTCCTGGCACAGGTTCCTAAGATGCGTGCTTACAATTTTTCCCTTCCTAGAATGGATGTGTATGTATCGATTCAAGGATTGGCTTCTTGGAGACTTACTTGCTGGTGTAAATGTTGGCCTTGTGCAAGTTCCCCAAGGTAAGGAAGATGCAAAACTGCTTTTTTCATCCAAAGACAATATACAGATCCTGTCCATTTGCCCAGGGTAAACAATTACTTGTGCTAGATGAACAGAGAAAAATGTGAATTTCCTTCACATCATTACCATTTGTTCCCTTACCTGCCAGATTTCTAAACCCTCCACAGTGGTTCTAAAAGGTCTTGTTTAGTTTAGACCCCTGAATGCTTTCCAGACTATTTGCAACACCCGCTCTTGGTCATTTCTTCCTGAATTAGTCATTTCATATTCATGACTACAATGCATCTGACTGGGCACTGCTTTTACTTGTGAGGGGAAGGATGGGCAACAGCATGCCAGTGTCTCTCCAGCAGGTGACGAGCACTCCAGTGCCCTCTCTGTGGTCTCCCAAGTGGCCGTTCAGATGTAAGACAGCAAGATCACGCGGATAGGAGCGGGAGCTATCTGGGCTTTAGAAAACTCATTTTCCAAGTAGGAATCAACAACTCTTGTAATAGTCCCATAAGTGTTGGTTCCAGAGTCCACAAGGGACGTGCCCAGTTACAAGAGTCACTGTGCTCAGAGAAACCCAAAGGTAGGCCTTCCAACTGGATAGTCATCATTCCTTCACAATCCTCTTGGCCCAGATGGTGTGTACTATTTGGGCTCATTTTTGCCACAAGCAATTCTGACTGGTAAAACAGCTGACGTTCTACCATTATTAGGTTTCCAGGGAAACAAAGCTAGAAAATTAATCCAAAACCAAATTTGTCTACAGCGAAAGAGAAAAGGTTTTACTAATCCTTTACTCACAGTAGTTTACAGTTCCTCAGAAAGTCATTAAACTCCATTTCTCTATTCTTCTGGGGCCCAGCAGGCAGGTGAAAGCTTGTGATCATGCAGGTTGTAGATAGCAGAAAAAAGGTCAACCAAATGGGCAAGTCGCAGCTGAAATCCAGCTCTGGCACACGGCTGTTATTGGGGGAAAGGGATGTCTTTTGAAATTTTTATTTATTTATTTACAAATTATCATACAGTAAAATTGGCTTTTTTTTCTTTTTGGTGTACAGTTCTATGAATTTTAACACAGGTATAGGTTTGTGTAACCACCACCACAATCTGGATGCAGAACTGTCCCATCACCCCAAAAACTGTCTTGTGCCATCCCTTTTTGGTCACATCCTCCGCTATCTGTAACCCCTAGCAACCACTGATCTGTTCTCCATCACCATAGTTTTGTCTTTTTGAGAATATCGTATGAATGGAATCATACAGCATGTAAATTTTGAAGGCTGGCTTCTTTCATTTAACATTATACCTTTAAGATTCATGCAAATTATTGTGTGTATCAGCAGTTTATTTATTTTTATTGAGTAATATTCCATTATCTAGATATACCACAGTTTGTTCATCCATTCATTTGTTGATGGACATTTTGTTTCCAGTTTTGGGCTGTCACAAATGGAGTTGCTATGAACATTCACGTACAGGTTCTTGCACGAACATAGTTTTCATTTCACTAGGGTGGAGTTGGATTGCTGGTCCTATGGTAAGTATATGTTTAACTTTATAAGAAACCGCCAAACTGTTACCCAGAGTGGCTTACCTACCATTTTACATTCCCACCGGCAATGCATGAGAATTCCATTTCTTCCACATCCTCATTAGCACTTGGTATTGTCAGTATTTTTTAAATTAAACTTTCTATTTTGAGATAATTGTAGATTCACATGAATTTGTAAGAAACTATAGATATTAATAGAACCCATGTACCCTTTACTCAGTTTCCCCAGTGGTAACATCTTGCAAACCTATAGTTCAGTCTCACAACAAGGATATTAACATTTCCACCACCACAAGGATCCGTAATGTTGTCTTTTTATAGCCACCTCCACCTGCCTCCTGTCCCCATCCATTCCTTAATCCCTGGCAACCGCTAATTTATTCTTAACTTCTATAATTTTATCATTTCAAGAAAGTTATATAAATGGCATTCAGTGTGTAACCCATTGGGATTGGCTTTTTTCACTCATCATAATTCTCTGGAGATTCATCCAAGTTGTTGAGTTTATCAATTGTTGATAACATTTTATTGTTGAGCAGTATTTTATGGTATGGATGTACCACAGTTTATTTAAACATTTACCCATTGAAGGATATCTGGGTTGTTTCCGGTTTGGGGCTATTACAAATATAGGTGCTATGAATATTCATGTACAAGTTTTTTAAATGAATGTTATGTCTTCATTTCTCTGGGATAAATGTCCAAGAATGCAATTACTGGAGTATATAGGAGTTGCATGTTTAGCTTTTTGAGAAACTGCCAACCTATTTTCCAGAGTGGCTGTATCGTTTTACATTCCCACTAGCAATTAATGAGCAATCCAGCTGCTCTGTTTCCTCACCAGCATTTGGTGTCACTATTTTTTATTTTAGCCATTCTGACAGGCATGTAGTGATATCTCATTGTGGTTTTAGTTTACATTTCCTTAATGGCTAATTATATTAATATTTAAAATCTTTTCATGTGCTAATTTGTCATCTGAATATTTTCATAAAATGGCTCTTCATATCTTTTGTTCCAGTTGAATTGTTTGCATTTTTATTGTTGAGTTTTGAGAATTCTCTATATATTCTGAATACTAGTCCTTTTGTCTTTTGTGTTTTGCAAATATTTTCTCCCAGTCTGTAGCCTGTCTTCTCATCCTCTTAACAGAGTCCTTGCAATGTAAAAGTTTTTGATTTTAATAAAGTCTAGTTTCTAGTATTTTTTTATTCTAGCCATTCTAAGAAGAATGTAGTGATATCTCATCATTGTTTTAATTTGCATTTCCCTAATGGTTAATGAGATCGAACATGTTTTCATGTGCTATTTGCTATCCGCATGTCTTCTTCGTTGAGATGCCTATTCGAGCACTTTGCCCATTTTTTCATCAAGATTTTTGTTTTCTTATAGTTGGTTTGTGAGAATTCTTTATGCAATCTAGAAATAAGTCCCTTGTCAGATATGTGATTTGCAAATATTTTCTCTCAGTCTGTAGCTTATCTTTTCATTCTCTTGACAGTATCTTCGGCGGAGCAAAATATTTTAATTTTTATAAAGTCCAATTTGTCATTTATTTTTTCTTTTATATCCATAAAAGCACTTTTGCTATCATATATAAGGTCTCTTCCACTAGCTCCTAGGTCACAAAGATTTTTTTCTAAACACCTTATGGTTTTATGCTTTACATTTAGATCTATTATCAATTTTTAGTTTAATCTTTATACAAGGTGTAAAGTTTAGGTCAAGGTTTCTCACTAATGTGAAATTAGTGTAAGATTTTTTTGTTGCACTTTCAACATCATTTTAAAACAAGACTATCCTCCATTGAATTGTTTTTGCACCTTTGTCAAAGATCAAATAGCCGTATTTGTCATGGATCTATTTCTGAACTTTCTCTATTCTGTTCCATTGGTCTATGTGTCTATCCCTTTGCAAATACCACGTCTTGATTACTATATCTTTATAGTGAGTCTTAACATTGGGTAGTATGATTCCTCCAACTTTTTTTTCAAAATTTTTTTAGCTATTCTTCCCTATAAATTTTAGAATCAGCTTATGTATGTCTATAAAAATCCTGCTGCATTAAATCTATAGATAATTTCAGGGAGAGTTTGCATCTTTATTATGTTAAGTATTCCAATCCATGATTATGGTATGTCTCTCCATTTATTTAAGTTTCTTAATTTCTTTTGTAAGAAATTAAGCCTTTTGTAGTTTTCAGCATACAGATCCTACATGTCTTGTTAAATTTGTGGTTAAGTATTTCATTTTGGGGTTTTCAATGGTAATTCAACTTCTCATTGTTCATTGTTTATATCTAGAAATACATGTAGAAATTGATGTTTATGTGTTCATCTTGTATCCCCAAACTCATTTATTAGTTCTAAGAATCTTTTGTAGATTCCTTGGGATTAACTACATTGACAATCATATCATCTGTGAATAGGAAGTTACATTTATTTCTAATATGGTTTTTCTTGCTTATTTTACTGGCTAAGACACCCAATACTGTGTTGAATAAGAGTGGCGGGGCTGGGTGTGGTGGCTCACACCTGTAATCCCAGCACACTGGGAGGCTGAGGTGGGAGGACTACTTGCAGCCATGAGTTAGAGGTCAAGAATGGTGAGAATAAACATTCCTGCCTTGTTCCTGATCTTGGGGGAAAGCGTTCCATTTCTCACCACTGAGTATGATATTAGCTCTAGGATTTTTGTAGATGCCCTTTGTTAGGTTGAGGAAGTTTTCATCTATTCTAGTTTGCTTAGAATTTTTATCATGGGTAGATGTTGTATTTTGTGATTTTTCTACATCTATTGATATGACCATGTGGTTTTTCTGTTTAGTTGGCTAATATGGTAGGTTATGTTAATTGATTTTTTGAGTATTGAACCAGTCTTGCATTCCCAGAATAAAGGAGTATCTTTTAAAATTCACACTAAGGCATCATATGTGCTAGGATTATTCCTGCAAAAAAAGAAATTTCCATGTGGCAACTTCAAACTAAAATGATCCATTCGTATGAATATAGCCACTTTATTTGTGTGAATAAAATCTTTAGAGCATCCCTGTGGTGCTATAATGAGAAAGCTGAACTCTTAGCATTGATGCTTTAACTATGAGCCCCCTGCTGATTCTACATATGTTTCAATTATGGCCAAAGCTGGAGGACATCACACTGCTAAATTACTGAGTCATCAGTACAATTTGGTGTCAAAACAAAAATGGCATTAGGATGTTTCAGTATATCTAGCATCCATCACAGCACCTAGCACATAGTAGGTACTCAAAAGATATTTGTTGAATAATGATTGCATAACTATATGAATGAATGAATCCAAGCAACTCTTGATACCTGACTAAGGGATTGTATATTATTTTAAGTACTATGAATAATGAAATAATGTGTAGAGTGAATAATTCAACAGTTTTACTTATATTTGAATAGGTAGTACCTAATGATTTAATAATTTTCTTCAAGTGAAACAAAAATTCTATATAGTGAAGACCTCATTAAAAAGGTATTTGATCTTCCTTACAGTAGAATTCCAGTTTATAAATGTAGAATTAAAGAAGAAAATAGAAACTCACCAGGCAAACTATAGTAACAATTGTTAGACATAAGATCCATAAGAATGGATGCTAAAATTAGTGGGTGAAAGTTTGCAAACCATAAAACAGGACTGCATATTTTCAAAGTATCTCCCTCAAGGTATTTATTAACTACTCCACTACTTTATAATAGAGAACCTGGGGCTGGATGCCTGTATCCTAGCACTTTGGGAGGCTGAGGTGGGAGAATCGCTTGAGCCCAGGAGTTTGAGGTTGCTGTGAGCTATGATGACGCCACGGCACTCTAGCCTGAGTGACAGAGCAAGACCCTATCTCAAAAACAGAAAAGAAAAAAAAATGACACAATGCACGTTAATCCATTTGCTTCCAAATTTCCAAATTCTCCCGGTGCTTCTTAGAAAAGAAAGTATGTATTGAAGAAGGAGCTGAAGGAAGAGATTGCAGTGACTGGCATATGGAAGCGAAAAAACACACACCAGCTTTGAGACAAGTCGTTGAAGTGTGATTTTTGCCTTGCTTTTCAGTTTTACCTTGAGCCCTGGTGAATTCCCGGGGCCTTCTTGTGCTAGACTAGGGATGGGGATGGGCCTGCTTCTGAGCTGTTGGAATTAGAGGTCTATGGCTGCGGTATTTGCTTTCCATGTTTAGCATTAAGACCCCACAGTGCAAGGTGTTTCAGCCTATGATACAGAACTAAGGTGTAAAAGCCCGTGGCAAAATAGGAAGAGAGGCTGTTATAGGAACCAAAGGAGATAATAAAAAGTATGAATGAAGGGCTATATGTCAAAGGATGCTATTACCATACTCAGTCGGCTATAAGCACGGATCATTTATATTTTAAATATTCTTTGCAGTTTTTATTTAAGATGACTTTTAAAAGCCAAGCTACCTTTTCTTAAATTATCTTGCTTTTCAGTCCTGACGTTCAGTTTGCTGGCAAGGCAACTGATTCCTCCTCTCAATGTCGCTTATGCAGCTTTCTGTTCTTCGGTAATTTATGTCATCTTTGGATCATGTCATCAAATGTCCATTGGTGAGTTAAATACTGAAACACACAGAGGTAGATGATGTTTTAACCTCAATCATTTACTTATTGCTAAGGGACCCAATATAAAAGTATCTTTAGTCTGGGCGCGGTGGCTCATGTCTGTAATCCCAGCACTTTGGGAGGCCAAGGCGGGAGGATTGCTTGAGGTCAGGAGTTCAAGACCAGCCTGAGCAACATAGTGAGACCCCATCTCTACAAAAAATAGAAAAATTAGCTAGCTGTGGTAGCACACACCTGTGGTCCCAGCTACTCGGGAGGCTGAGGCAAGAGGATCACTTGAGCCTAGGAGTTTGAGGTTGTGCTGTGAGCTATGATCACACCATTACACTCTACCCAGGAGGACAGAGCAAGACTCTGTCTCAAAAAAAAAAATATATAGAAAGGAGGCAGAAGATGGACTTTCTATCCATATGGTTAGTGGTCAGATTGTAGAAATGAATACTTCTCCACTTCTCCTAGTGTGTCACTATTAATGTTACCACCAGAAAAACAGGCCAGCAAGATGTTTCCCAGAGGAATTAGAGGGCAGAGGTATTATACTTTCCTTGGTGAAATTGCCACACATTGGAATCTGACTGCCCTCAACACAGAAGATCTAGAAATGATTTTGCCAGTACTCCTAGAGTAGATCTTTCAGCTGGACCCATAATAATCAAACTCCATGGGGCTGATTTATGATATAACACATGGGGCTGATTTATTGATTTACAATGAGAAAAGGCTGTCATAGTAATCAAAACACTGAAGTCCACAAGATAAGTACTTTTCTTCCCTGAGTCAAAAGTCCATCTACTAATTTATAACTAGGAATGACTTTTACAGGGACCAGACTCGTTAAAAGTCATATAATCAGCACTAATCAGCACAATAACCTCACCTAGCTGAATCTGACTAGAAATCAAATCACAAAATGCCCCAATAGGCTTGGAAGGTCATTGCCAACATTTACTCAGTGAGGTGCCTTTCCTGGGCTTCCCCACCAAACAACTGACCAATCGACCAACATTGACCATTCTGACTGACACACTCTTTCTCCTGATACGCTTTGTATATTCGGTCTGGTTAGCATCCCATCCTTCTAGATGTGGCATGCTACTCTGCCTTTTTTAAGAACAATATCGCAAAAATAAATAAATAAATAAGAACAATATCGCATATCTTTACTCAGATCCATTATTTCTTGACTTTACATTTGAACACCAAGAGAACAATTTTATTCCCATATTTCTAAGTTCCTAGGGCACCTCACAATTATTTCCAAATACTGATAATAAGGCTGTTAGAGTTTTGTTTGTCTTAGTAAGTTTAAAGGTAAGATTTGCCTTTGCTCCTCTATAAGTGTATGTCAATTTGAGGATTTAATGAAATAACGTTTGAGACAGGGATAGCTCGGTGTCATCTTGCACACAGTAAGTCCTTCAGAAGTGTGGGGTATTATTTTTCTTCCTATTGCTATTGATTGGCTTTGTTTTCTGATCTTTTCATTACCATCTCTCTCTGAACCTTCTCAAAGAGCAGGCACGGTGGCTGAACCTGACCCCCATTTCCAGTCAATTTCTCTTTCGAGCCCACTCCATATGCCCGTAATGCAAAGAGACTGAACACCTGGACCACCAACAACTAAACTCTGTGAGTTGGTCACGATATGTGGAGCCACAGTTCTGTTTCCTGCTTTCTTACTTCCCAAAGGCCACTTTCAAATACGAAAAGTTCTTCAGATCAATGACAATACCAAATCAGACCATGCCTGGCCTTTGTCAATATCTGTCAGTTACCTGGACTGGAAACTTCACCTCCCGCCTCTAACATCTTCTCTCATAGGTTCCTTCTCCCTCGTGAGCGCTCTGATGATCAATGTTCTGAAAGTGAGCCCATTCAACAGCGGTCACCTGGTCATGGGGACTTTCGTCAAGGATGACTTTTCTGTCCCCTCCTTCTCTACGAACTATAATAAATCCTTGAGCGTGGTGGCAGCCACAACTTTTTTGACTGGGATTATTCAGGTAGGATCTGAACCTCTGAACCCCTGAAAAAGAACTGAGTAAAGGGGCTATAAATGGGCCCCTTCCCTTAGTTGCTCCCGTGATCCATTGTGGTACATCTGGAACTTCAGTGATGTATTTTTCTGAAAACTTGTAGGATGTGTGGAATAGGATGTCTCCTCAGTGACAAAACATCTCTGTCCTCAGAAATCATCCACCACTGGTCTAGGATGAGATACTGAACACTGTCATCAGTCCTTCTCAAAGAAGGGTCCTAGGGACTTACGGTCTAGAGTTCCATTCCTGATTTTGCCTTTTTTTAAATTACTTCATATTCTTTCAACAAGAATATCCTCACAGGCCCACCTAGCATGCTTTGGGTTAGTAAACCTTGGAGTCAGACCTGCATTGACAAGGACCACAGCTAAAAGACAATAACATGATGACTTATTAAAATCCAAAACTTATTTTGGAAGTGTGTTTAATTTTCCTCTGAAAGTCTACCACCTGCTAAACTAAAGGCACATCTTCCAGCTTTATTTCTCTTTTTTCCCAGCTAACCCACTCTCTTGTTGATTTTTCAGTGATCCCCTAGGACTGCCTTTCACTGGGTAAGGATTTATTGGGCGCCTACAAAGGCAGGCTATCATAGCGGGCGGACTCCAGCCCTGATGCTTATGAGCTGTACGAACTTCAGTGCTTTCAGCCCTTTGTGGGCCTCAGTTTCCTCATTTGTAAAGTGGGAATATTTGTTTTTCAGGCTTCTTATGAGAATTAAGTGAGAAAATGCATGCAAAGTGCTCAGCCGAGAGCCTGTTACATAGTAAGCATCGATAAGTTATAATTACTGAGTACAGAGAAATGAATTTGGTACTTAAAAAGAGACCAAAAATTAAAAAGAAGATATAATTTCTGTGGTTAAAAAGTTCAATCTTGGCCAGGCGCGGTGGCTCATGCCTGTAATCCTAGCACTCTGGGAGGGCAAGGTGGGAAGATTGCTTGAGCTCAGGAGCTTGAGACCAGCCTGAGGAAGAGTGAGACCCTGTCTCTACAAAAAATAGAAAATATTGGCCAGGCATGGTGGTGTGTACCTATAGTCCCAGCTACTCGGGAGGCTGAGGCAGGAGGATTGCTTGAGCCCAGGAGTTCGAGGTTGCTGTGAGCTAGGCTGACGCCACGGCACTCTAGCCCGGAGACAGAGCGAGACTCTGTCTCAGGAAAAAAAAAAAAAGGCCAACCTCCCTCTACTACGGTGTCAGCAGAGGCCACGTGGGAAGAAGTAAAGGCATTCCTGCCTCTCCCAGCCAGGGTGGTACAGTGGGAGGCCTAGCTGGGAGCCAGAACACTCAGCCTTGCTCAGCAATCATGAAGAGTCCCTACTGCCTCAGGTGTCAGTAAGGGCCAAGTGGGGAACCTGAACTTCCACCTCTACCCAGAAGTAACAAGGTGGCATCCTCCCCTTCTGCCATAGCTTTGTCAAAAAATAAGCTAGCAGGCAGGGTGCTGTGGCTCACACCTGTAATCCCAGCACTTTGGGAGGCTGAGGCAGGAGGATCACTTGAGGCCAGGGAGTTAAAGATCAGCATGGGCAACATAGTGAGACCCCCATCTCTACAAAAAAAATTTTTTTAAATTATTGGGGCATGGTGGCACATACGTGTAGTCCCAACTATTCTGGAGGGTGAGGCAGGAGGATCACTTGAGCCTAGGTGTTTGAGGCTGCAGTGAGCTATGATGGTGCCACTGCACTCTAGCCTTGGGTGACAGAACAAGACCCTGTCTCAAAGAAAAAAGAAAAGAAAAAGGAAAGTCTGAACTAGATAATAGCTAACATTTATTGCCATGTGCTAGTCACTATTCTAGGCACTTTACATGCATTACCTTGTTTGATCCTCACAACGACTCCATGAGTTAGGTATTACTATGGTCTGTACTTTAAGGAAACAAAGGCACAGAGAGGTTAAGTTAATTGCCCAAAGTCATACAGCCTGTAAGATACCAAAGTGGATTGAGTTCAGGGTTGTCTGCCTCCAGAATCTGTGCTCTATTTTGTATTAAAGTACAAAATAATATTCATAAAAGTGAAGAGTTCAGTGCTGAAAGAAAATGAAGTAAAAAACAACCTGAAGTTGGACTGGAGTTGTCTGGGAAAGAAACTACTATTTATTGAGTCCTTTCTTCCATTCATTCGACATTCAGTGCGGGTTTCTCTAAGAGTGGCAGGTAGGTTTCCCCTCACGGGTCAGCTCCGACTGACTGGCGGTGGCTGCCTAGCATGTTACGTTAACGTTAACCCTGAATCTGACGCCACACCACCGTGGAGAAGAAAGAGTCCTATGGTAATCGTGGATATTTGCCATTTACAAGGTGGAAGGAAACGGCGGCATGAAGAATGGGTAATGTGTATTTGCATCTGTCACCATTTTCGCATTTGGGCTAGGTGTTTACATGTGGTATGTAAGTTACCCCGTACAACACTCTGTGTATCGAGTATTAGTCGTGTTTTAAAGATGAGGGAACTGAGGCTCAGAGAGTTAGTTCCCTTGTCCACACTCACACAGCCAGCGAGTGGCAGGGCCGGGGCTGAAGCCACCCTGGGAACCATGCTCTTTCTGCACACCTTTCCAAGGAGAGGAATTTCCTAGCGCTCTGGAAAGAGAGGAGGCACGTGGACTGGCAGAAATGGGAAAAAGAGGGCTTCGTGCACGAGCACAGAGGTAGGACTGGGCCAGTCACACAGAAAATGGGGAGCGGACGGGCCTGGCCGTGGTAAAAGTGTGTGTCGGCAGTTACGACAGGAGTTAAGGGACACGTGGTGCCTGGCTGATGGCAAGCTTTGAAATAAAAAGCTTTCAAAGCCAAAACATTTATTGGTCCAAACTTGTTTGTTTTCTGAGTGCTGCTGGTGCGGTGGGAGTGAAGTGAGACAGTAGCAGGCTCTGAGGCCGCCGTTTCGCTGGTCTTCCCCCACTTACTGAATTGCCTTCGCTGGGCTGTGCCAGTTTTCTTAACCTCCCCTCTTCCGGGGATTGGGACTCATCCTCTAAACATCAATTTTCTAACTGTGCTCCTGGCTGCGCTCCGAATCCCTTGGTTCTTGACTACCCACCCTGATGAATGATAGCAGGTGACAAAGCAAAGGTAGAAAAAAAGGCCCAACAAAGTGAAAGTAGGTAGAAAAAGGACTTCACTGCAGGCCGAAAGGAAGGGAAAGCGCACTTCACGGTGCAGGAGCAGGACACCAGGCCTGTGTCCGCCGGGACTCTGCCCCCGCGCTCTTTGTCTCTGGGCTGCTACTGCTCCCACCCAGTGAGGCAGGAGTGCGTCATCTGAATCGTCCAATGGCGTGCTTGTCTCCACCGTAGTGGGGGGGGGGGCCTGGATTTTCTCCTTTTATGGCCTCAATCTGGAAATGTCATGATGCATAGCGTCCATCCCCTGCAAGGGGGGAACATGCAAAGCTAATGACATGTTAATTCTCTTGAGGTCACCTTGAGATCTCAGGATGCGTCTAGAGAGTCCCAGGAAAGTCCCCTCACCTGTCTTACACGCTCAGCTCACTTGCGTCCCCTCCTCCCGCTCACACCTAACTAATCTGCCTACTCTAACAACCGTCTTTTATTATAAAAATTGAACATCTCAAACAGTAAGAGTGTATAAATTATAAAATATTATCCCCAACCTCTAATCCCGTTCTCCAAAGGTAACTTCTGTTAATAGTTCAGTATCTATCCTTTTAGATCTTTTGTGTGTGTGTGTAAAATTTTATTATGTAACATATATTTATATCTTATATATGCATGCGGACATATTAAATACCTTGTGTATTTATATCTTCGGTATATACGTAATCCTGAACACATAAATAAATTCAGTTTCCTCATTCTCAGTAAAGATAAGAGTCAAAGGCCAAGAAATTTAAGCCGGAACCCAGTTTTTTGGACTCATCTTTTCCTTTGTGAAACGCTGCATTCCTTATAGGGATGTCAAACGTCTCCTGAAAAGGGCTGTCAAAAGCTTCTCAGGAAAGGCCTTGAAAAAGGCAAAGGCTTGTTCTCACCACCCTGTTGCTGTTTCCCCCACAGCGACCTAGAGGGCGGTAGATTCTAGAGCAAGAATTCAGTTACCCCAGCGGACCGGGCTCAGGCAGGGAGGAGGGAAAGAGGTGGGCTGGTGCTTGTGGGGAGTCTCTGATCAACAGGCAAGGGCGCACCTTATCCCTTCACCTCTGCTCATTAGGGAAGGAGAGACGCGAGAGTCATCAAAGGGGCCTACCCTAACTTTGTTTTGTTGGAAGCCCCTTCTGAGAAGGGGCTGGGGGGCCCCTGGAGAGCGCCATTGGTGTCGTTGCTGGTTTGAAGACTTTCCGCCCCACTCTGTTTTTCTTTTCCGTCTGAACCCCCTGCAGCTATCAATGGGCACGATAGGTCTGGGCTTAGTTAGCACTTACCTTCCGGAGGCCGCCATCAGTGCCTACCTGGCCGCCACGGCGCTGCACATCATGCTGTCCCAGCTGACCTGCGTCTTCGGGATTGTGATTAGTTTCCACTCTGGTCCCATCTCCTTCTTCTACGTGAGTAATTTCAGCCCTCGCCCGGAGCTACAAATGCCCCACGCCTTGCCTCCAAAGAGAAATGGGCCCCAGGAGAGAAACTCCTGACTGTTCTGAAAGGAGATGCAGCCCACAGGCGGCTCAGTCAAGAGGTTCCTAGGAATAGCTTTCTCTCTGGTAGATCTGGCGCCTTGGTTAATTGCAGATGCCGGTTAGACCATGCTTTCAGTTGCATTAACCATTTCAGCCCAGCCTTTTAAACTTACATGATTTACGTTAAAATTTGGCCTTCAAGATGATGTACTTAATCATAAACAGAACTCCTATGTCCTTTCCATTACCCTGAGACATATAAAGCGTGTATTCTATCCTTATTGAACATTACTGCCTGTTTTAATCCCTTTTTTAACTTAAAAAGGCCCCTCTGCCCTCACTGATTTTTAGTCATGCCCATAAAAACCTCCCAGCAACTATACCTAGGAACTTCTTTCTAAACTAATCTAGAAAGAGTGTCAATTTGCTAGATTTAGGCAATTATTATATCGCATCCTAAGCCTCTGTAATTTTTCTTTCAGAACATTATTAATTATTGTATGGGACTTCCAAAAGCTAATTCCACCAGCATTCTGCTATTTCTAACTGCTGTTGTTGCTTTGAGAATCAACAAATGTATCAGAATTTCTTTCAATCAATATCCCATCGAGTTTCCCATGGAATTATTTCTGGTAAGTGTTTTTGATGCCCAGAATTCATGGTTTAGAGAATATTAGAATTTTTACAAGGCATATGTCAAAGCTGAGTACATTTAGTTTTAAATATTAATATATACTTATATTTGCAAAACATGCTTATTTTCCTTTTTTAAAAACATTTTTAAACTGAAGTACAGTTAACAAATAAAAATTATGTATATTTATGATGTGCATGATATTTTTATATGTGTATACATTGTGAGATGTTTAAATCAAGCTAATTAACATATCCATCACCTCACATACTTATCATTTTTTGTTGTGAGAACATTTAAGATCTGCTGTCTTAGCGATTTTCAAAGTTTACAGTACTTTATTAACCATCATCAAACTATACAATAGATCTACCCCCAAAACATGCTTATGTTCTAAGTACATTTATCTGTTGCCTCTTTCTCATAATATTTCAAAAATATGGGTTTTTTTCCCCTTATGAAAGTAATACAGGCTCATTCTAGAAATTTTGAAAAACATAGAGAAATTTTTTTAAAAAAGGACAAGGAAGAAAAAGAAATTCCTCGGCCGGGTGCGGTGGCTCACGCCTGTAATCCTAGCACTCTGGGAGGCTGAGGCGGGTGGATTGCTCAAAGTCAGGAGTTCGAGACCAGCCTGAGCAAGAGAAAGACCCCGTCTCTACTAACAAAATAGAAAGAAATTATCTGGACAACTAAAAATATATAGAAAAAAAATTAGCCGGGCATGGTGGTGCATGCCTGTAGTCGCAGCTACTCGGGAGGCTGAGGCAGGAGGATCGCTTGAGCCCAGGAGTTTGAGGTTGCTGTGAGCTAGGCTAATGCCATAGCACTCACTCTAGCCAGGGCAACAGAGTGAGACTCTGTCTCAAAAAATGAAAAAAGAAATTCCTATAGTTGCACCATCCAAAGTCAACTATGTTTAATACTTTTACACTGTCAGTTATTTACTCCTTTCTTCTTTCTGACAAACATATGACAGGCCTATGCTAAGTGTTGGTGAATTTCCATTTTTCTCTATGTAGAAGTTTTGTTTCTGTTTTTTGAGACAGGACATTTCTGCTCCTGGAAGCAATGGTGCATAATATTTAGATAATCATATGCCTCTTTTTTTTTAGATTCTTGGTTTCACTGCATTTGCAAACAGGATAAACATGGCCACAGAAACCAGCAAGACACTCATTGACATGATTCCTCACAGGTCAGTAATTCCACTTTTCAATATTGCTTTTCTCTTTCTGATACCCTCTCTTAGCCTCTGACCACACAGCCTCGTTGATATTTTCTACTGGTAGTCTCTGGCCAAGTTCATTTTGGAGCACAGAGGCTCCCGAAAGAAGAAGGGCTCGGACGACTCCTTGTTTCTTCTCTGGTCAGCCTCTGTCTCTCTTTTCATAGTTGAGCCAATCCCCTCACCCAAGAAAACTGCTGGCTGCGCTACCCACAGCACATACAGACTCAAGTTTTTCTGACGGTGCATTACAGGCCTTCTCAACCTCTGCACCTGTCTGACTAACGCTGAAGAGTTGGACAAGAGACATCTCTGTTTTCCTAGCCTCTGTCCTGTGGCTCAGTGCTCAGGAGATAAATGTTCCTTCTCCCTTCACCCGCTTAGACTGAATCAATGCCCTTGAGCAACAATATTTTCTTACTCTGAGTAGAAATAGATTGGCATATGGAGTTCTTAGGGACTCACAATTTACATCCTAATGCCTACCAGTGACTATAGGGTGCCACTCTTGCTTCTGTTAGGAAATTCTTTAATATAATTTTTTTGATCTTGATCAGATGAATCACATTAGCTAAGAAAAGCAATTTACTGCAGTTTCTTGAGTCATAGGCAGGCTTTTGAAGAGCACTGCCGATTTTCTACCGTCGTGGAAGAGGGAACCCTGCAGAGTCGAGGATGCTGGCTAAACTCCCGGCTAACGAAACATGGGCTACTTTGGCACAGTCAGATTAAATTAGTCTCATATCCCACCAGTTCAAAATGAAATCTGAAATTCCAGTCAATTAAAAAGCATGAGCAGACACCACCTAAGTACCAGGGAAGACGAAGCTAAACAAGACATGGTCTCTGTCCTCAGAAAAAAATAACAAGAACAACAACGGGATGGGTGCTCTACATATTTACCTTATTTCATTTACTCCTCACAGTAATACCATGAGTTAGATATCTCTCTCTCTCTTTTTTAATGGCTGAGGAAACTAAGGCTTATTAAGTTTAAGTGACTTATCCAAGATCACATAGCTACTCAGTGGCAGAGCTACCATTTGAACTTATTTCTCCTTAATTACAAAGTCTATGATCATAACCACTCTATTAGACTTATGTGCTGCTGTTATTAATGACTTAAAAACCACGCAGCCAAGTTTTGCTTATCTTTTATTATAAGATTCAAGGGTATAGATAGACAAGTGAACATTTCAAAAATCTAATTTTAAACACTGCTTTGAACTTACTATTTTTTTGGAGACAGGGTCACACTTTGTTGCCCAGGTTGGAATATAGTGGTGCAATCATAGCTCACTGCAGCCTTGAACTCCCGGGCTCAAGCAATCCTCCCACCTCAGCCTCCTGAGTAGTTGGGACTATAGGTGCAGGCCACTACACCCGGCTAATTTTCTTTTTTTTTGTAGAAATGGGGTCTTGCTATGTTGCCCAGTTGGTCTTGAACCCCTGGCCTCAAGCATCCTCCTACCTCGACCTCCCAAAGTGCTGGGATTAGAGGTGTGAGCCACTGCACCCAGCCTGAACTTCCTTTTTTTATTATTATTATGTATTTATCCAGCATTGCGAGGAACTAGTAAAATTGAACAATTTTAATTAGCTCCC